GCGAGGAATAAGATTAAGAGTTCTATATTTCTTCTTAGAGGTTTGGTTATTAATCTCTAGGAATTTTAAGTGATAGTTCTCTATTAATGGGCATTTGATGATGCAGTGGTTAAGATCAACCCTTTACCCACATATATATTGCTCAGAATGAGCTATGTTTCGTTCGTAAAAATAAGTGAGGAAGGGAGCATGTGCTGTCATAAGCCAATTGATTAGATAGTTCGTCTGTATTTTAATGACTTATTTTTGGCTGGTTCTGTCTGTACTGACGTGAGATATAAGTTGTAAGATTCGTCTCCCTTGATTACTATTTTTTCACCCTTTTACCTTATACTTGTTCCCCTAAGGAAATGAGTTGATATTTAAGCTAGGATTTAGGCCAAGGTAGAGTTATTAGATCTGCATCAGCGTCAGTTATAGCAGATTTTCCTGCCTCATCAGATTCGTTTCCAGAAATTTAATCCACAAAATTTAATTGGGTTTTAATTGGGGTTTAATCCACAAAATTTTAGGATGTATATCGAGATTCGAGATAGAGATATCGTAGATATATTGGATGCTCGGGCCATATATTTTGATATTTTTCATAGCTAAAATAGTGGACTAGCTGTCTGTATATATTTGAATTTACTGAATACTACTATACTGAATTTATCAGAATTCTTTTTCTTAAAAGAGCAAATATACACTATGTTATTTTGTCAGAAGTACGTCATTCAATTTACAAAACGCAACTACGCAAAATTAAAGAAACAACTTTAGTATCATATGTTGAAAAAAAACTGGAAGTAAAATTTATGAAAAAAAGGTTTTTAAATACTTTGGGTTACGTCTTCATAGAATTAAGATCATTAACTTAAGTTGACAGATTTTTAATGAATCTGAAATTCTTCAAAGAAGTGTACCTGAAGAGAAAACATTTCCAATAGTTTTGGTGGAACTTAAGGAGAAAAGAATGAATATAATGTTTCGAAATGAAAGAGATTTATTAACTTTAATTTGTCCTTTGCTGTTACAAAATGTCGTTTTCTTTAATCTCAAATTAAAATAATTTAAATTAAATTCTCTTAGTTAGGCTGACATAAATTTAATTCCCCAGTCGACAACAAACACATTTTTCGATGATTTGAACAAAGCTAAAGTTAAAGAAATGACTAGAGAGCCAAAATTGAAGATGGATGTATTACATTTCAGACAGTGACAACCAAGGAGGTTAGCGTAGACGAAGTAAGCATAAAGTCACAAAAATGGAGCCAAGGAATGTGTGAAAAAAGGAAAGTGTCATAAAATGACCTCACGACTTATCAAGGCCGTCATACAGCATACGGATCAGGCTATGAAGCATATTGCTAAATAAAATTACAAGGACCTTGAGAGTAAATATCAACGTCCCCAGGCTCAGAAAAGAGTTTTTTTGGCATAATTTTCATAAAATACCATTGAAACATCCAGTGATCTTCCAGGTTTTTATCATATACGTATATATTTTTGTGGTATAGTTACCATTTGCACATTTTCATGCACCTAGATTTTATCTAACTTAAACAGTTATTTGCAATCCATGTGATTTTCCTATGAATTAAGTAGGAAATCATTTATGTGAAGCATTAAAATTAGAACGGGAAACTTTAAACATCCAAACAACACCGGTTAGGATGTAAACAAAACCAGCTAGAAGTCTGCATATGGCAGCGGCCATGAAAAATCGTGAGGTCAAACCGTGATACTCAGTGGCTTCATTTTCATCGCACGAGACCTACGAGGGAGAGTTACACCATCTATTCTAACCACTTTGGTGACAACCCATGACTTTTAAATAGCTGAGTTTGTTGATTAAAACTGAATGACAAATACAGTGGTACCTCGATATACGAATGCCTTAATATACGAGTGTTTTGAGATATGAGCCGCTGAGTGAGCGATATTTTGCTTTGAGATGACAGCAAGATTTGAGAAACCAGGAATCGCACACTACACCGCTGCACACGACCGCAACCTGCGCGCGCATGTTGGTGCCGTGTGCAGCGTCTAATAGTTTCTCCCTCCTCAGACTAGATCTCAGTCTGTGTACTTGTTTCCCTCATTTTCGAAGCATTTTTGATAAGTTGGGTTCGCGTTTTTTGCTTTTTGTACATTTACAAAACATTATCACATTTATTTTTATAACCATGGGTCCGAAGAAGATGATGTCTATTGAATTAAAGCGTGAAATCATAGAAAAACATGAGGAAGGTGTGCAAATAATTGACTTGGCAAGGATGTATGGGAATAGCACATCAATGATATGTACTGTGCTTAAACAGAAGAAGTTGATAAAGGGTATAACTCCAGCTAAGGGCGTTACAATAATTTCTAAGCTCCGCACCTCTCTCCATGAAAAGATGGAGAAGCTACTAATTGTGTGAGTTACAGAGAAGCAGCTTCAAGGAGGAACCTTAACACAAAGCATCATATGTGAGAAGGCACGAGCGATTTACGATGATTTGCTGAAGCAGATCCCACACATTTCCACGAACAAGGAATCGAAAAACTTGTTTAAAACCAGTCGGGGCTGGTTTGACAGGAAAAGGACCGGCATTCAACCCGTCGTCAGGCATGGTGAGGCAGCAAGTTCGGATGTGAAGGCAGCTGAGGTTTACAGCAAAACATTTTCCGAACTGATAGAAGCCAAAGGATACATCCCCCAGCAAGTCTTCAACTGACGAGACAGGGCTTTTCTGGGAAAAGATGCCGAATAGGACTTACATAACGGCAGAGAAGAAGACGATGCCAGGTCACAAACCCATGAAGGATAGATTAACTCTAGCACTTTGCGCCAATGCGAGTGGCGATTGCAAAATTAAGCCTCTGCTAGTATAACAAATCCCAGAGCCTTTAAGTCATATAATTTTAAAAGAAAAACTGCCAGTTATGTGGAGAGGCAAATCCGAAGGCATGGGTCACCGGAATTCTTTGTGGAGTGGATAAACCTGGTGTTTAGCCTTTCTGTTAAAAATTATCTACAGGAAAACAACCTACCCATGCAAGCCCTTCTCGTCCTCGACAATGCCCTGCTCACCCACCCAATCTCGAAGATGATCTCGAGGATGAGTTCAAGTTTATAAAGGTTCTCTACCTACCACCCAACACCACTCCTATCCTGCAGCCCATGGATCAGCAGGTGATTTCTAATTTTAAGAAGTTGTACACCAAGGACATTTTTCGGCGCTGCTTTGAGGTGACAGTTGACATTTCACAGCAGAATCTGAACACCCGTGCGGCTTACTAAGACTATTCGGGTCTAGTCCAGGTTCCGCAACTATCCGGGGCAACACCTCATGGCCCTATAAGGGCAACATTGATCCTGTATACATGTTACATAGTTATAATATCTTACATAGTTACATAGTTCATGACAGACATAGTTCATAGTACGTGCTTATACCAGTAGTTCATAATACATAGATCTTTCATAATACGTGCTTACAAGTTCTACTATACATGCTTACACATATTTCCTTACCTATTTTTATATTTCTTACATAGTTCATAATATATTGAGCCTGTTACATAATACATACATAGTTCATATATATTGAGCCTGTTACATAATACATACATAGTTCATAATAATTTTCATTGCCCATATACATCATATTTCATAATATATACAGTGGGCCATAAATACATCATTTTTTCATAATAAACAATTAAAAAAAAAGGAGAGAGAAGAGAAGATTGACTGGAACCTTCACACTGCACCATCTGTTCCCAATTCCTCCAGTCTGCATTATCATGCATATTTGCTGCGAATGCTGGCTGTTGATCAGATAACGCTTATGAGAACTGCTGTTCCGAAGCTGCACATGCCACTGGCGGTTAGAGGGCTTCAGTCAATAATGGCTGTTTTCAATGGCTCCCAGACGCAACTTTCGGTTTTGCAATTCCTCGCTCATAGTAATAGGAGGGGAAAGGCCCTGCCCCATCGCAATCTCGTTATTCTGGCTTTGAGTAACGGGCGAGTTACGGAGGGCCACTTTAAACATCGTGATATGCCTAGAATTATTGATCATTCCTGGCTGGGTGTAACAACGAAACCTTACCCTGCTAGAAAATCTGTGGCCTGAGGCTGTTAGTTGAAAGAGGTCTTCGAAGGATTGAGTGCCAGTAGAAAGATTTGTTTCCCGAGAAAATCCATGCGTCTAGAGGTGGATGAGAGAGAGTGAACGAACTCGTAGGAACAGACTCAGACTGACAACCGAGGAGTTACACGATCTCATTCGCAGCAGCATACGGTGCTTCAACGAAAAATTTTTTGAAGAGAGCCAGAGATGAGGAGGTTGTTCTACAGAATTAAAGGAAATCTTGGATTTTGGATAAAGTTGTAGAGTTCGTTGATAAAAAATCCCCCGAAAAAGTTGCACTGTCTGCATCGGAGTTGTTCATCGCTAATTGCCTAACTCATCCCAATATCCTGAAAGGGAGGAAGAAACAAACCTCCTTGTTTTTTTTTCAAACGATCTGCGGTGAAAGGCAAGCTGAAGAAACAAAAGCCCCGTGACCAATTAGCGCTTCCTAAGCACTTCACTTTTTCTTTTGATTAGTTTTTATAGAATATGCATTTGTTATTTATAAATAAATGTTTTCTTCTGTAAATCATTTTTCTATTCAAAAACACTTAAAAAAACTGAGGTGTGTTTTTGGGAGCTGGGACGGATTAAGGGTATTTCAATTAATTTCAATGGGGAAAATTGCTTTGAGATACGAGCAGTTTGACATGCTAAGAAGGTTACGGAACGAATTAAACTCGAATATCGAGGTACCACTGTATCTTATATTTTTCCGAATGGCAAAAATCTGATGAGCTGGACATAAAAATGTTTTATTTCGAACAATGTTGCCACTACTCGCTTTTAAATTGCTACGTACAGATTCTTCATTATTTAATAATATAATTTTTATTGTACAAAATTAATCAGAAAACGTTCGCAAATTTTAGCAGTCTTTAAAAGAATACTCACGCTCTTTCAGAGGTTCAATTATGCCACTTTTCACAGCTTTGGGTATAAGACACAATAAATCCACAACTACAAAAAGAAAAATTAAATGAATTAAACAAGTATTCTAAAAATATAAATGAAAATCCTAAATTTGGGTAAAAAACGAAAAGAATAATTTCATGCAAAATTATCAGAAAATTTCCTAACTATTGTCTTATAACATCACAAAATGGTGATGACCAGGTTAAACACTATACCCTTATCCAATGGCAAAAGAATAAGAATAGAATGGAAAGATGTCTATTAAAATTACAGTCAGTTACGTTTTAAAATTAAAAGGAAGAATGATATTTTGATGATAAAAATCATTTTAAGCTATGTCACAAAAGCATGACACTTTGTTATACACTCAGCTATAAATTATTGACGAATGCAAAATAATTTAAAGTATGTTAGGAGAAACTACACTGACGTAGCTAAGGTGGGGCAAGGGGAGACATCTGTACCCAGGCGCAGCATCGAGAGGGCGCCAAGTAGTTGTAACGAAATTTTAGTTTGAAATGTTTTCAGTTCTTGGCAAACAGGAGGGGGTACGCTATTTCAGTTAGACCGGGCGCTGAAACCGGCTCCATGAAACTACATATTTTTCACAGATATCATGAGTTCTAGCTTGTGCTTTACTTATGTATGGATTTTTTTAAATGTTTATCACAAAACAGAACTACTGCGTATACTTACTTTTCGCTATCTCACAAACGTACTGGACAACATTCACGATGTAGCAAAGGAAGTTAAAAACGCCCAGCTTCTTATTGCAGTCTTCGATGGCATCGTCGAAAGCTTTGTTGCATCGTTCGTATGGCGTCCCATATTTGTTGTTGCATACGCTCACCATACTTTTCAGCCAACGGAACATGTTGCGAATGGCATTGACTGTAAATATTCAAATAATTTTGAGCGTACTGAATAAAAAATACAGGATTTAATTCTAAATTTAAGAACTGATAAAAGCGATTATTTGAAACGCGATTTAACATTCATAAAGACATGCAAAACAAAGTCTTACATTAATTGATTTATTCAAGTCGTTTCTCACTTTTTCCAAATCGGATACCTTGGCGTGATCGGGGATTTCCTGTCAAGGATGCTAAAATCGAAATTTAACTGCCTGTAACTGCCTTATCTTGTAAGATTCCAAACTTTGAATGTACTGCAATGTGTCTGGATCGTTGAGAACTGATAAGTGAATAATCGCTTAGTTCCGAGAGATAGAAAAGTAAACGTAAGAAGAGTTAATTACCTTTTATTATTCAAAATAAATTTAACAGACGACTCCTTCTGGGAGTTACAATGAAGCCTCCCCTTGGGCTTGAACTCAAGAATAATAAGCAATAAAACTTAATTAAAAAGATATAATCGAAGCTATAAAGGTTCTAACAGAGTTGGCCTATTAACGCTAACTAACGGCGAAGCTATCAAGGGCCTAAAGTACGGCCGATCGTAAAAATAGCTTTAGAGACAGCCAAAAGGCTAACGCACGCTGATCAGAATCTCAAGCTCTCTCAGGAAGTCAGTAGAGCTTCACATTTAAATACTTCCTTCTCCTCATTCGTATTCAACTGCGATTCTGAAAATACGTTCCATTATTTAAGTAGCTTACATACAGCCACTTCTCAATTACAGAGTTCTTGTAATTTCTATAAAACAATTTAATCATACGTAATTTTTAATAAAATTATTGTAAAATTTAGTTTTCTATTTTTGAACCACCATGCTGTTATCAATAGAAAATACACAGTTTTATTACAAACGTGAGAAAATTAACAGTGAACGATGGAATATATTCATCACTTCGTTAAATGTTTGTGTTTTGAATATAGTTTCTAGAGAGCAATTTTAGGATATTCGTAACGTTGAGTGTTTGTATTTGTATCTATATGCAATTTAAAATAATTTTTTTTATTTTTAAAAGCCAAAAACTGCCTGCTTAATTTTATCTAATAAAATTAAAATGTTCTGCAATGAACTAACAATAACAAGTACGTGCAGTTTGTTGAGTGAAGAGATATTCAGACCATTACTTTCCATACAAGGCCCTTTATTAATCTCACAGCATGTTATAAGTGCATTTTTTATACTATAGTTTCTCTTAAACATGTTCTCTGTTATGTGTACCACTGTTGCGTACGTACGGGTTCGTAACAGATTAAATGCAAAATCGTAATAGGTTAATAAAATTTGTTCTTATCAAAAGAAATATATCATAACGCTTGAATCTTCCTCAAAGATATTCGTTCAAATGTTCACAATATCACTCAGTATAATGAGTAGGTTATACTTCAAACTACTAAAAACATTAAAATACAAAGCAATACAAAGCGTTATCTAAAGAGAAAGCTAATTCAGATATCTCGGTTCACGCTGTTCTTGGGCCTGACGGTTGTGATTCCGTAGAGTGATTTTCTCCCGTAGAATTATGATCTGAAAGGAGAAAACTAACTGTGTGCTGGCTGAATGAGGTAGATTGCACTAAGGCGATAAAAGTAAAGAAAAACCATAAGTGAAAAATAAACATCTTAATGTTGAAGCAAGAGGGCCGAAAACATAACTGGCTTGAAAGAGATGGATGTCGTAAAAGAGACGGACTTGCCGAGAGATGGCGTTATTTATTTAGCCCTCGGGAATTTAATCTCAGTCATCGTACAAATAGAATGGAGAATTAAATTTCCAGTTCTTCAAATACGACTTGAATAAACTATATAGCAGGTTGCAATTTGTCTTCCTTCGATAACTCAGACGTTCTCTCTCCGGCCTTTTATAGCATTCAACCGTTCGCGACAAACTTCTAGTACTTCCTGCTTCTCGAGATTTCTGGAAAGAAATAACAGGATGGAATTACGGTTATAGCTAACATTGTGGTCAATTACATTTATTCCATTTCAATACAAATTCCCGAGATATCCCTTTATTAAACACACATGCCCGTGTATTTTGACTTTTCTAGCATAGATTTCCCTTAAAATTTGTCTCGCGCTGCATTGCACGGGGAAATACAACAATTTTAATTATAATTCTACTAAAATTACGTATCTAAAAATTCGTAACGCCATTATACATAAAATATGATACATGCCTTCTATATTTTCAGCATTGCTTCAGTAATTAATACTAATTTATTAAGTTACACATTTTATAAAATACTGATTTAAAAGCAGAAAGTTGATTTCAATTTAAAGTTATATTTCTGGTTTAAATTAAAAATCCAATTGATAGCCTTTCATTGACAATAACAACTTTGTTTTACAACGTGGTTAAATATTCAGCATATTTAATCTGGAAATTGATTGTAGCAAAATTGTAATTCTGGACCATCAGTCGAAATTAGCATTTTATATAACCTTTCAGAGCATTTTATTAGTAGTAGTATTAGTATCATTTTGCACTATTTAGAGATCTAACTGAATCATTAATAGGGGATATTTTATCTTTCGACTTTCCCATGAAAAGAAACAATGGGTTGAAATATCTTTGAATGAAAACATGTATCTTTACTAAATATAGTTTATTAAAAACACAGTACATTTAGGCTCAAAACAATAAGAAAGCGATGCAACAAATTTAGCTTTAACCAGAGTGCACCACGAGGAGGCCTGTCACCTTGCACCCCCGTCAGGTTACTGTCATGTTACCAGTCCATGGATAAAGGAGCATATTGACGAATGCACTGTACTATTATCTTTTAATTCTATTGTTCTTAAGTATTGAGAAGCAAGATCAATGGCTTAGTGGCCAAATGTATGGCATTTGTATAAATAAATAAACAGTATATTTACTCACATAATAAGCTAAAAGAAAATAATAAAAAGTTTCGAATTTTTAGTGTTTTGGTGTAACATGTGCCAAACAATTTTCAACAGAAAGATATAGACGACCAAATGTTGCCTAAAATATGTAATGATTTTAGAGTGCTGAATCCAGCTCATTTAATGTTATAAAAATATTTAATATTTCTAATTAGAAATCTCACAATTTAAATGCATTTATATTTAAATCAATCAGGTCAAACGCATAAAAAATATTCTTAACTGCATTTGTTGCTTTTAACTCGCTTGGTTTATTTATCATTAAAAGATAGATTAAATTTGAAAGTTACTTTATCTTATGGTTTGTCAAATGGGAGCACGCTGGCAAGTGGAAGATTAAAGTATTTTATTTCAGGCAGTGTATTTAAATAGCTAGCTTGTTGATTAAAACTGAAAAATAAATATCTTGCACTTTCAGGCATGACAACAATCTGGCGCGCTGGAAATAAAAATGTTTATTTCAAACAATTTTGCAATTGCTTGATTTTAAACAGCTGAGTTTGTTAATCAAAAATTCCTTTAATTAGCACCAAATTGGAAGTAAATGGGACAAAATTCAAAATTGGCTTCGAATGTTAAGAAAATGTTTGCCATGATATAAATTATCTGATGATGAAAACATGTCAGTTTCCCGCATGCTTCCTATAAAATATTGTTTTATGAAAATATTCAAAGTTACTTACTGATACCACAATAGAATACATACTAATTTCCATGAAAAGGTCTCGTATAGCAATGAAGGCATCTTTCACTTGTCGAGCAAAACTTTTCAGAGCAGCCAGGATGTCTCTCATAGTATCTATGATTGCTAAAATACATTAAAATATTTATGTAGATGCAAAGACGACTAGAGTACTACAAGTTTTAATAAAACTCGGATCTGTAACAGAACTGAAATTTTGTATGTAAATTTATCTTAAAAAATCAGCTAAGTGCAAGCAAAACTGGAAAAAGAATTTAAGCAAGGAAATGCATTCAACGCTGATCTTCCCAGTCCTGAATTAAAAGCATATCATTTCTTGGAATATAGCAATTAAAATTGAAGCTACATCTTTTTTGGTTAACTATAGTTTTGTTCAGTTTGTCTTATTACAGGCTTTGTCCCTCACGCTTACTTTGTAGCCATAGATTTTATCCACTTCGCCGTTTACCCCGAGACAGACTCATCGATTTGAAAAGTGTCGTCAGTAACTTTGAATTTAAATATAACATATGTATACAACAATACAACATATATTTAAATACAACATATATTTCTATATGTGTGTGTGCGTGTATATGTATGCATGTACAATATAGTATGTATGTATTTATTTTTATCAAAGGAAACACTTCGCAGTTCTAGAATTTTCCACAAAAATAGTCATACAACTTTTCACAGTATCACAAATTACAATCAGTAGTTACACTTCAGACCACTAAGAAAGTTAAACACTACGCAATGCAAAGCACATCCTTGCAGAGCAAAGCTAACCTGGAGATATCTTCAGTATTCCGAGCTCACGCTGAACTAACTGCTACAACAACAACAGTTACAGTTATTCTGTTACAATATCCCTTGCAAGATGTAGAAACTGTATTGCACCAGATGGCGCTGTGTGCGCTTGAATTCTTTGGACTATTGCAGAACTTGGATGACTGAGAAAGATGTAACACGAACGCGAAACACCAACTAACGTTTATATGTGCTTCCATTTATTGTAAATTTATTTATTGTGTCGTCAAATAAAACCTAGAGAAAATGACAAAAGGCGAGAATGCGTCTGACAGGTAAGCGAAATTACTTTATAATTTATTATTGAGTTTTAGCTACAAAGAATGTATATGCGTATTTACACAAGAACCGGATCGAAATGTCGCCAAATGGTCGCCAGGTTTGGCGCATTTTGGCGATTTCTCGTTAATTTAGCGAGATAGCAATTTACTCAATATTAAACAGACTTGCCCCTATTTTCATATTTTTCCTATAGGGCACCGTAACTTTATATTTTCATATTACATTATACAGAAAAATACAACAATTTCGCATATAATTTCACTAAAATTGTCTATCTATATGTAAAGTTCTTCACAATATTTTACTCAAATATTTGCTTATTTAGAAAAGTCATTGGCCTTTTGATATCAGTTATCAACTTACATATCAATGCAACCACCCTGTCGCAATTTGACGGCATTATACAGATGGAAAGATAAAAGTTACTTATAGGGTGTAAGTTGATGATTTGCTAGAGTTTCTTTAAAATATTAAAAGAAAGCATACTTCAGTTTAAAATACAAATTTGAATTATTAAGTGAAGGATTAAGTGATATATTAAAAAAAATAAAAACTTACATTCATGTTCAAAGCTCTTCGTAATTTTTTGAGCTATTCTTCTCCACAAGTATACAGCGATTTTCTTTTTAAAAAATCAGAGATTTGGCATCCCGCAAATCTCGGCAACACCGGCCATCTACCAAGCACATTTCCTCGAGATTATGCTAGAAAATTCTTTATTCCTGCAGAAATTTGACTATAGTTACTTTCATTGCTGGCAAATCTCATAGACACCTATTTTAAAATTAAGTTTGAAAATGCCATGACTTTTTATAGAAATCGTTGGAACTTGGGATACAACAAAAAGAACACATATAAAAATGGCGACGCTGCTTGACTGAAGGATTGTTATGAGTGTAGTTCCCTGGTACATTCTCAAAATTTGGCGAATTATATTAAGGTAGTTGCGATAGCACATGCAAGTACTATTATTTGAAGCAGTAAATCGTAAAAGCTACTAATGACGCTTTTCAAATCGACGAGTCTGTCTCAGGAGAAACGGTAAAATGGTTAGTTGCAAATTAGTTTGTTGCAAAGTAATTCTTTAAACTCATTCGAAACTGAGTATTTGAAACAAAACGGAAGCAAGAATAATTACCAATCAAAGGAGCGAAAATGGAACTGAGGATGGCCTTTGTCTGCTTTATTAGGATCTCTTGGCCGCAATTCATGCTCTCTACAAGAATATTCGCGTTCCTCATGGCATTCTTGGCAGGCCCACTCATCACGAGGATGTAAGTAATTGCCATCAGAACCATCCTTCCCCTACCTGAAAAAAAAAAAAAAAGTTAGACAATTTTATCATTGTGGAATAATACATATATTGTACAGTGTATTCTCGATTATACGGGAACTAATTATCCGGTTTGGAAATTATCTATGCATGGCAATGCCCACGCAAGCACACTCAACATTATACGCGAGAGCGGGTTAAAAAATAAAACGCGCAATTCCGAGCTTTGTCAGGTAAGCGCTTGGTCAAAGTATAACACTCGTTCGATCATGGAGAAGGTTCTTCCTAATATAGAAATCGGATATTTATCTAATTGTGAAGAAGTTGAGACCGTAAGTAAAGTCGTATGTCAAAAAAATTAAAGATGCAAAATTCTTCGGGAATGTTGTTCAAGGAAACACCGAGGAATGGTTCGATGGCGAATCGGCTGAGTCGATTCAAACATTGAGACAGAGAGTGAGACTGAAAATATAAAAACGAAAAAGATACTCACAATTACATTAGCCCTGAGACAGCAATGACATTGTTGGAACTCCGTTGAACTTCGTTGTCCAAAGGGGATTCAAGTGCATGATAAAATAGCAGTTCGAAAAATACACAGTTAAATTCACCAAATATTTAAACGAACATCAATATCAGAAACGGCGCGTTTAGTGGGCTGTTCCACGTGCAGTTATTATGAGCACATATCGAAAGTAGTGTATGGATGGTGAAACGACAAGTCGCCGGCCAGCATTATATCGTCGAGGGCATATTGATTCCAGAAGACAGCGGAGATTGCTACGCATTGTTCGCCGTGACCGAAGAGCTACAACAGTGGCGACCCAGACAGTGTTTCTCAACACACTATGCAATGTACATTGCTGTGTATGGACCTACGCAATCTGAGGCCGAAGCATATCCCTGCACTGACGGAACGTCATCGCCAGCTGCGTCTGCAATAGGCCAAGAAACATTGGAATTGGACATTAGAAGAATGGAAGGAAGTTGCATGGTTCGACGAATAGCGTTTTCTAGTCCATCATATCGATGGGCATGTGCTAATATGCCAATTTCCAAATGAAACCCTGGCTGCCGGATGCAGAGTTGGACGGAGACAAGCCGGTGGCGGGGCTATTATGGTGTGGGCAATGTTTTCATGGAGCACATTAGAGCCCAAAATTTCCATAGAGTAATCCCTGACATCTGGTGCACTACGTGAACATCGATGTAGACCAGGTTCACCCATTCATGACAACAGTATTTCCAGCGGGAGACGGAAATACTAACAGGATCATGCAAAATGTCATAAAGGTCGAATTGTCAGAGAGTGTTTCGAGGAACATTCTAGTGACTTTCATGTCAGCCTCCAAATTCACCTGATATTAATCCAATAGAGCATTTGTGATCCCATCTGGAAATCCAAATTCGTGATGCCACGCTACCCCCTCGAAATGTGCGGGAATTGCTGGACCAGTTGGTGAGCGACTGGTACCAGATACCTCAGACTACCTATCAGCAACTTATGGGGTCAATGCAACACCAGGTGCTGGCAGTTTAGGGGCTAAAGGTTGACCTACATGTTATTAACAGGGTGGTCATAATGTAATGGTTCTTCGTATATATATATACTAAAAAGCTCAGCGGTCATACGAAATGAACGCTGTTCTAGATATTATAAATTGTAATTAAAATGATTTGTGCAAAGGTGTCTGCTAATTCAAACTGAATTACCCAGGGCAGGCGGCGAGGACGCCCCTTTGCTTACTGTCCCACGGGGTTTTCCCCCTTCTGCTTGCTTAATTGCTTAAAGTAGAGTGCAATGAAGGAAACCACTGGCGGTACATTTCTTAAGAGTCACCGCTAGCTCAATAAATAAAGGTGATTTAAATAATAAAAATGTAAATTCACATGTCAAAGATTTCTTTGTACACAACATTTCCTTTGTATACCTTTCCATCATTTTTAAGCTCGCCTTGCTCGACCATCAATTATTTTTAATTTTACGTCCGTTCTTTCACGAACTCTTGAACAGGCAACATAAAGTAGACCGTGTCCAAATGCAGGCTCAAGTAAAATTATGCCAACACGCTTAGGGGTTGGCCCGAGAGACTTATGGATGGTCATAGCAAGGCAAGTTTTACAGGAAATTGTCTACGTCTCAATTGAAACGGCAACCCTTGCCGTGGCAACTTCACCCTATGGCTGGTACAGTACGCAAGCAACCAATAAACTATCGACGACAAACAGACACTTAGCCGCATATATAAGATATTTATTTATTTCATTTTAGTTGTTTTTTCATCGTGCCGGTTGCATATTCCGAATTCTATTATATACTAGATGTTAAATTTTTTATTAAATGTTAAATGCACGTGCTTGTATTTTTAATTTTTCCGGCTTAGCTTTCCATAATATTCTCACGCGTGACTGCACGGAGATAAAACAACAGTTACGCAAGCAACCAATAACTATCGGCGACAAACACTTAAGCCGCTTATATATAAGATATATATATATACGAAATGAAATAATTAAATTATTATTTTGTTTCATATTTCAATTACTTTATGCAGAATAAAGGTATTATTTAAGATCAGAGGGTGAAATTATTCAAATTTAACTCTCCTACCTGCCACTTTTACAGCAAAGTATGAGTAACTTAACATTTCTGAGAGCCACTATAATTACTTCAAACCACAAATCAAACGTTAAGGAAAGACATACTACAATAATTTAGAAATGCAAGCATTATAGTGAACAGGCTTGGATGTATGGTATAAAAATTACGGGATGCTATTCCAAAAACCCACTGCAGGTAACCTCTCAAAATGAAATTTAAGTGCTATGAAATGTTTCTGTTTTCCGATATGAACGCAGCCGATCAAAGTGTATTACATTTTCTGATAATGCACTGTATTCTCTAGAGATGCCCTTAACACTCAAACCGGGAAAAGGTTTGCTAAAAAAACTCCAAAACTGGCATGAGAAAGTAGCATTTTCTTAATTTTAATACCAAAATGCCCCTCCTATTTTATACCATTATGTCCTTTTAGCATATTGCCTTAGTTTCTCCATATTTCAAGATTCACCTACATACACTTTCTTTAAAATGTTACAAAAAATACAGTTTAAGTGCTATAAGGTGTTTCTCTTTTCCGATCTAACAGCAGTCAGCCAAAGTGTATTGCATTTTCTGGTAATGTACTATATTCCTTAAAGATGCTCTTAACCCTCCAAACGGGAATAAAGGCTAAAAAACTTTAAATTTCTGAAAACTGCCATGCGTAAGAAGTATTTTCTAGATTTTAATGCCGAAATCCTCTTGTTACTTTATACCTGGGTTTAAGTATTTTTAACATATTGCCTTAATTTCCTAAGCATATTTCAAGGTACATCTACGAGTATATATACTTTCTTAAAGATGTTACAAAATATATCCTAAGGGGGTAAATATGTATGTTATATGCGCAATTACACACACACACACGCCCGCGCGCCGCTCATACACTTATATAAGGTGTAAGCGGTGCATACGGCTTTGCCGGTTAGAGGACAAATTCTTACCTGAGAAAAGCTCTGGCAAAGCGAGGAAAGTTATGCACCTGGCTTCTTCACTGAAAGCGAGTGCCGTAGAAAGAACCATACCAAGCACACAACAAAATGCCGTGGTTACACGGGGATTAATGTTCAGTTGGTCCAAGAAGAAGAAGAACGCAGCCGCTGTGAGAAGGAGGCCAAAAACAAATCCCAGAAAACTTTTAATCGCATAGTTCTCGAAAGTACCATCCAAACAAGGTCGCCTAAAATGAACAAAGAATATGTTAACATGCAAATACGAAAGAAGATTTGTAAGTTACGAAATAAATAAATAAAACTATTACGAACTGCAAATCTGCTTTCACGGGTAACAGTTTTAACAGCAGATCGAAAGCATGAACGATTTTAATAAAAGGTAAGAATGGTACTTCCAATATTATCCAATCGATCGCAAAAGTTTGCTTTCGTCAAGCCATGAAAATTGGCGGAGATCCCACCACATTTATGCCAGTCGCTTCTGTGAAGTTTTGAACTACACTTCTATCTGTAGGTCTTACAATAAAACATTCGTCAATCTTTCTGGACAATCCACCAAATAGCACCAACAGAGGAAGTATTCGGCCGCTTCATTTTACGCTTCTTAAAAAGACTTTCGTCGATTTCTACATTTTTGTTAGCCTACCGCCCTCTGCCCCGAATTTGTCTCTAGACCTGTTTAGAACGCAATGAGTATAAACTCTTTTCACAGGAATTCTTCCAGTCTATTATTATTTTTGCCATATCCAGCGGCTGTTTTTCGTATTCGACAGATATTAATTCTCTCAACCGGTTAAATGAACCAGAGTTAAATGAACCAGAAAGTAGTCATGAATACGAATCGAAAGCCTTCAAATCACTTTTTTTTTTTTTTTTTTTTTTTTTCGAAATGCGAGGAAAAAATATAACAGTAACAGTTAATTTTTTTCAGGTAAGAAACCAGGTAAGAGAAATAAAAGGTGTTCTCATTCGAGAAAAAGCAATATATTTAACTTTTAAATTTAAGCGCATTGTTTCAAAATGGCGACACCTCGAGCTCGAAATTTGAATTTCGAATTTGTTGTTATTTATTTCATATTTGGCGTGAATTTCAGGAATTTTTGTTAAAAAAACTAATGATAAAACGCTTTATGTTGCTACTCGACAAAGCGCAGGACATTATGTTCCAAATTTAAGCAGAATTCAATGTAATAAAAGACGTGTATTACCACTCAGCAAAATGCAATATATTTGTCTTTGAATTTAATCACCAAATTCAGCAATTTAAAAGATATGTGTTGTCACTGCCCGAAATAAATATTTTTATTTTTAAGCAACTTGGTGTTGTGGTTCAGTAAAGCGTCAAGATAATATTTAATTTTTTTTTCAAATTTATTGTTATTAATTAATTGCATATAATTAACAAACTTAGCTATTTAAAGGCAATAATCCCAGACTCATTTCGATTATTATTAATTACTAACTGGGCTCGTGAAACTACATTAGATGGGCTCATTAAAATCATTATACATTTTTGCTTCTTTTTATAACTATTTAGGATTTAGGTGGTTGGTCACGCAAACATTTAATTAAAAAAATACATGTAAAGTTCAACAAGTAAAATAGCAATTTGCGATTCGATATTCACCTTTCATTAATCATTTTTGTCAATAGAGGGCGGCACTAGCAATCTCAAGATCTCATCCTGTGCCCATTACATTCCTTAACTTAGTTGTTTATAGATAATCTCCTTTCGTTCATTCGGATGACTGTGCGATAGCAGGTAATTTTTTTTAAATAAAGAACGTAGAACGAAAGAACGTAGGTCACCATTACTCGTATGATGTACTAGTAAATGCTACATCCTAATGTAGAAACCAGTAGAAGAAAGAAGTAAAAATTTTAACGTTTTTATTTTTTCATTTAAAGTACTCGAGGTACTACTGCATTCGTAAAAATAAATATACTTTATACAAATTTATACCTCTTAGCTGCATTAAATATGTATCATTACTATGTTTTTGTCATGCGATGTTTTATAGCTTTATATGAAGTCGTTTCTTGGAATGACTTTGTTTTGGAACTGTGAGATTTTGTAATCGCCTTAAATTTCTATCACAATACCGCGATATTTAGGAACGTGTCACGATGTTTTAGAATTGTGACGCTTTCTCCTTTCTTATTTTTCTACCACGAAATTTTATACTACAATGTCTCCTCTCCCGCGTCCTTTTCTCGGTGATGTCTCCACTGGCAACCATGTCTTCAATTATTTTAAAATAAAGTAAAAATAATAGGCAAGAAGTTAACTTTTTTTTTTCTTTCTCTAGATTAAATTTTGCATACTTGCCTTCTGTACACAAAATGGGGCTTCCCACCATCTTTCAATCTCCGCTTCCCGAAATGGCCACTAATCTGTTTCTTGCGTCCTTGCTCTGGAATAGTCTCATTTTCCGTGGCCTGGGGTTTTCTGCAATTTCTCCGTAAGTGGCCTTCAGCACCGTAGTTCAAGCACTTTGGTTTCTTGCTCCATCTCGAGGCATTGACTTCCCTGTTTAAATCGTCTGCTTTATTTTCCAGGCTCTAAGGTGTTCTGCAGTTCTTTTCGAACATGGCTTTCAGTACCATATTTCCAACACTTTAGAGCCAGTTTGTTCTCACTCCTACTCGGTATCAAAGCATTGACTTGTTCGGATAAATCATCTAAACGAGCCATCATTTGATCCACTGTCTCGTGGATTTTCACAGCTCTGGCTGGATGGCGATCTCTACGAGTTGCTTGTTGGGCTGCCTCGAATTTCATGGCGTACACTAGAGCGCTTTTTAAGTGCTTGACATCCGCCATTAGTAGAGCTTTCTGTATTTCAGGATCTCGGATGCTGTCGATGAAGTACTGCAGGGACAGGATTTCCCTTGTTTCTATCGGGAATTCTTAAAAGGCGAGATGAGACAGCCTTTCAACATCCGTGGCAAATTTCGGGAAAGTTTCCGTTGGCTTCTATTAACGGGAATTTAAATGAAGCCTGCTGTAGTGTTTTAAACACTTCACCCCAAAGCTCAGCTACAACCCGCAAGACAGAGCTTCGAAATCTAGCCTTTCGTTTTCAGGAAGAGTCTGAATGATATCCACTGCGTCTGCTCTCAGAATAAGATGACCGACCTTAGCTTGGGGATCCCATCCATTAGCTTCCGCCACTATAAAAATTGTGTCTTATATACGTGCCAAGAGGTCTTGCCATCATATGTGGATAACTTCGGAGACGAACGAGCAGGCATTGGCAAAAATTTAAAGCCATCAGAATTGCTTCCTGCTGTCGTTATGCATTTCTTTAATGTCTGAACTTCTTTGGCGACGACAGCAGAAACTTTGTTTCCAATTTGGTCTTCAATATATCCTTGGATGGCAAAAACTCATTCTTCAATTTGTTGTCGGGCTGTCGAAACTCTTCCTTCGATTAGTTTGACCTGCTTCAATCTTTTTGTGAACAGCTTTCATTTGTGCTATAACGGATTCTTCTATCTTTTTCTTAACGGATTCTTCCATCTTTTCTTGAACAGCTTCATCTCTTTAACGGATTTTTTGTTAGCTTACATCTCCTCTTCAACGGAATCTTTGAGAACTTTCATCTCTGCTTGGCCCGTTTGCGTTTCCTCTTTAACAGCTTTCATCTCCGCTTCAACAGAATCTTTCATCTGTTCTTTAAATGCAGCAAAGGCTACTATGAACTGCCTTAAATGCTCCTCCTTCGCTCTTGTCACTGGTATTCAATCCCAAGGCTGCCACCAAAACGTGTTGCGTGCGTACGGGTTCTTAACAGATTGAATGCACAAATCCGATAAAAGTTTAATAAAATTTCTTTTTACCAAAAGATATACTACAGAACACTGGAATTTTTCTCAGAAACATTTGTACAATATCACGCATATCACAATATCACGCAGTAATAATCAGTAGTTATACCTTAAACTACTAAAAACGTTAAATAGAACGCAAAGCACAGACAAGAGAAAGCTAATCCCATCAACGATAACAACAGCAGCTAACTAAACAAATAAACTGAGCAATGCCAATAAGGAAAAATTTCAGAGTACCTGTGTTTCAAAACCACGCACCACCACATCAGAGTAACGTTGCATATATACAGAGTTGGGGAGAACAGAGAAGAAAGAAGGGGGCAAATAATAGGAAAACCTACATGGCTGAGTGGTAGCAGATTGAGAAGAGATAAATCTCTGGGAAAACAGATGATTCAATAAAAATCAGAGTTAGTAAAATAGGAGTAAAGAATCATTGACAATGGCACATTAAACAATACTTAGCTGTGAAACGACGGATAAGTGGGCGAAGTTTTGTGTTGGACGGCTAATCGAAGTTAATCATCAGTTTTGCAAAACGCTAACATAATTTAAGGAGCTTGTATTCCTAATATTAATTTATTTATTTGAGATTAAGAATTTCGTATTTTTTTGAATAACTGGAATAGTATTTTGCAGGAAGTTGAGATTGCTATCATGTTTAAATACATCAAAGATGGGGGTTGAGTTTTTCTTCTTCAGAAATATTTTTCTTAAGTATTTCACTGTAGGAGAATTTTTTCGTAGTGAAGCTGACAGGGGGATTGTCCTTAGTAAATGAAGGGAAATTAACTTCAGTTCTGGCAGGTGCTGGGTTACGTCGTTCACTTTTATTTTACATCTCGGCGAGTCTTTTCTGATATTCAGGGCATCCTTGAAATTAGCCTACATGATTATGACCGCAGGAAATACATTTAGGTTCTTGACCATCCTTAAGAATACAGGTAAAACTTCTGTGAGGACCTCCACATTTACAGCATCTTTCATCGTTGAAACATCTATGTTGGGTATTCCCAATCCTTGGGCATTTAAATCACCGGGTTGGCAGTTTTCTTTAGGCTTGTAACGTTCAATAGAGACTTGGAAACTACAGATGTTTTTGACAGAATATTTTGCATGGCCTTCCTTGAAATTGTCAAGCTCAATGAAATAAATAAGCAGGTTTGGTGTTCCGTTTTCAGTTTTTGTAGTGAATTGCTTGACTTTACGTACAGGAAATTTTCTCATCGACATTATTTGAAAAATATAATTTTCTGAAATCGTGCCTGGTAGGTTTCTGATTATCCATTTGGTACGAATGAAATTTAAGCTTGGACTGTTCCAGGAATTGAGCGAGTTGTTGGTAATATTCTACAGAATTGGGAAAAGTAAGGATTGAACCTCTTCGTAGTTGAGCATCGAATTCATTAACACAGACTTTGTGAAGGAGCAGGTTCAGGTTCCAGAAAAATCCCTTCTATATTACTTTAAGTCAGAACAATTAGAAGCATTTTACTTGGCTGTGCGTAGGAATTAACTTCAGTTTTTAAAACTGAGCTGAGATGTCTCTGTCCGGCTTTTTAAAGCTTTTAATCGGTCGCGAGAGAGTTCTAGTAATTTCTTTGCTTCTCGAGATTTCTCGAAACCAACAAGAGGATAGAATTACGGTTACAGCTAACACAGTAGTCAATTACATTTATTCACTTTCATTGCAAATAAAAGAGAATCAAAACAAGAGGAAAGTAAATGTCTACATAAGTTTTCTCAGAAACCAGCCCATGGCGTCCGCACTCTTTACATACATATATTTTACGCTAATTTAACTAAATTTTAATTAAAACTCAGAGATTTGCGATGCCACTCTGCAAAAGCAGAAAATGTATATGTTTTAAATTTAATAAGAAAACTCGGCGATATTAAAAAAAATGTTCCCACTTGGGAAAACGCAGTTATATTAATTTATCTCGAATTTAAAAATAAATTCTGCTATTTAAGAGAAATGTGTTGCCACTGCCCAAATTAAAATACACTGGTGTGCAAAAATTAAGGACGAGACGGTTTTTTCAATATACCTTTGTACAAAAGCTTCCAAATCACACTTTATACCGTAAGATCCCCAATACGTAGGACATGACAATGTACCAACACCATACTAAAAGAGAATCAGAGGATAAAAGAGTTTTGAAAAGAAGCATGGCGGCGCAATGCGACTGAAGCGAAACATCCCGTGATGGGTGTCCGCAGAAACAGCAGTCTTTAAGAGGGGATAGATCTACCCTGACTGCTAGGCAGGTTTCACAGGTCTGCCATGATGAGAATGAGGGTGGGCAGTAGTTGTGGAGGCAATCTGCCCAATCGTCTGCAGCGCCAATCGAAGCTCCGGAATCGTACGGTGGTAAGGTACGAGCTGCCAAGCTAGAACTCCCATACTGCCATGGATTGAGATCGGAGATCGTGCCGGCCATCCAACTTCAATATCTCACTCTTAGGCTGTTCGGCAGCTACTGTGCGATGACATGGTGCATTGTCGTCCATGAAGGAACTGCGGCCCCATAGCCTCTAAAAAGACGCAATATGGAAGAAAAATCTCGTTACAATAACGGGACCCGTTGACTGACCTGCTCGAAGATGTGAGGTCTGTAGACTACCAAGCATGAGCCTCCCCAAACGAGAACCCGCCCTCCATACCTGTCCCTTTTCAATGAGTTCGAGGATGATGCGGCTCCCCGCTCTTCCAATAGTATGCATGAGGAATCGCTACTCAGACTGAATCTGCTCTCATCTTAAAGAGTACTCGTTCCAATTCTTGTCTTTCAATTCCGGTTCCCGGCACCACAAGACGCCTCTCCGATGATCAGCGTTAGAGGTACACACCGTACAGGAAGTCGTGCAACGACCTCACCTGTCAGTCTTTGGAACGATAACACCAAATCGGTGTCCAGTAGCTGTGTCGTGTGTCTGCGATTTCCCCGCTGTCTGCTGCTTTTCTTCTGGCCTGTAGGAATATACGGTCATCTGCGGTGTGGGTCCTCGTGGACGACCACTACTAAAACCCCGGATAATGTTCCTGTAGTTGAAAGTCGTAACGCTCTGTGAGCAATTCCGACCTGCACCACACGGTCACACCTGCAGCCTCCACTTCCAATATCGACTCGGGTAAAAGCATCCATGTCGTCAACAGATGAATTATTCGCCATTTCGCTGACTCAGCACTCGGCTGATTTTAACTGTAAACGCGTGCAACTCTTTGCCAGAAATACTGATCTACACCGACACATGCTTTATACTACCAGACTTCCCATTACGTATACCTGCCCTATCTGCAGTGCACCGACACACCTTCTTATTCATGATGGTCTTTCTGTTCGCTCTGCCTCTTCGTTCCGCTGATATGCTAATTTTTCGACTTCGTCCTTAATTTTTGCACACCAGTGTATTTTAAAGTATGTTATCGTTCAGCAAACCGTAAAATATTTAATCTTTCACCCACTAAGACGCACTTATTAACATGCATGTTATTGCATCACTCAAATTTTCTTTGCTTTTGAAAGTGAAATTGTAATCGTCGTCACAAAGCATTACTTCAGTTATTCTGTGAATTCAGTTACGCCACTAAAATGACAATCGGTTGCTCGATCTACACCTCTAGCACGAAAGACAAAGGCATCATTAGCTTCAGAGGCAAAGGAGCAAGGGAAGCAAGACTGAAAAATATTCGAATATGCAGTGCTGAAACCCGTTCGTCTGAAACAGACGTGCAACGGGAAGCAAGATTGGAAAACGTTCTAGTACGCACTGCTCAACCCCGTTCGTCTGAATTTCGGATGCAAGACTTTATTTAAAAATTGAAACATACACACGTTCTTTCCTTTAAGTAGCATTGCAACGTATGCCGGGTAACAGCTAGTAAAAAATAAAATTTTCCGTCATGTTTATATGTGTTGTTATTTAAAACAAATTGCTTACATAATTGCAATTGCATTTAATTATAGAATGAATGTATATATTACATAAATTCTATTGAATTATGTTATCATTTTCAATAAATTGGGGATAAAATTGCATTACATACTATAACAAATAAAATTTTTATTAAATTATTAAATTCCTTTCTTCTCTTCTTCTGTCTATAGGTAGATAGATAGATAAATCTAAATTTTGATATGATTATCTAAGAATTGATAAGAAAATATTAATGTGATAAAAAATTATCTTAAAGGAAATACTATCGAAGCGGAATATTTTTTAAAGTGTAAATCTTATTAAAGGTTGTACGTATTGTGGAGAGAAAAAGTTGAAATGTATTCAATGAAGATTAAATGTAAAAATATTTTACGAGAAAAATTGTTTTCGATTCCATAGTAAGATCCATACTTTTCAAGGTGAACTATTCTCTTCCCATAAAATCACCAATTCAATTCGATATCTATGCGTGTGTGCGTGAACTAACTTTTTGTTGTATGGATTTATTGTCGATTTATAGTCAGTTTCGTTTTCGACAAGGTTTACAACATTCGGCAACAAATCGCACTTTCTTAAACCCGAACTGCGGCGACCCGAATTGTGACGTTTTTGTCGCCCACGCCGCTACAGAGGATAAGTACCAAATTTTGAATTTAATGAGAAAATCTTAAAGATTAATTTAAATTTTCTCTCGATTCAGATTTGGAAATCGTTTCGCTAAAAACATCTCTTTTCCTCCAAACCTAACAGTGAAATTCTGTTTAATTCTATGATAAAATTTAAGATTTTCTCTTACTGAGACACTTGAAACACTTTTTTTTTTTTTTTTTTTTTTTTAAATTTTATTAGATAAGAGGTCTTACCTCAAGAAACTTTTGCTGTAAGAATCTTCAAATCGATCTTCCCGCTTTTTCCTGGATAACCAACATGGGCAAAAGGCTTTGCAGAAATTGTTTTTCAGACATTCCACGCACCAAGTCCAGATCTCTTCGTACCATGGATAATGGGGTCGCTCTCCTCTACAAATACGCAAAGCGTTTTTCTTAGCTTTCATCAGCCTCTTAGCTGCTCTTTTGAGTTTGTATGCCTTCAACACCAGCAACGGACCAGGCATTTCTGCACTCTTCAGGCACCTATATAGAATAGTAGTGGGAGACCAATCTTTAAAAATAGTATTATATATGCACTGTGCTGTATTCATATCAATATATCTATATATATATATAAATATGCAAGAAAAATAAAGAATATGTAAAAGATTAAATTGGCAGCGTAATAATTTTCCTTCTAGTCTAAAAAAACAAATGCACTACGTCATTTCGAGAGAATCTATATCGTATGATCTTACGTAATTCTGGGATGTAATTGAACTAACTCAAGCAGCCAATAATAATTTTACAGCAATCTTAACTATTCAATCAAAATGCTTGAAAACCAAAATAGTTTGAATTAAGATTTCATCTGAACTTACCACTTGCTTTTCATCTTGCTGGCCGCACGCGTCTGTCTCTCTTTCTTCTTATTGCAAATTTATCTACTGTAAAATCTCTTGGAACAGGCACAATTAATGTGCCAACTTCATTGCCGCCGCAACATGTTTGCTGAAATAAAAAATGAATATTTAAATCTGCCTACGCTATCCAAATTCCTTCTCCTAAAAATATTACATATATATATATATATAACATAAAAGTTGTAGACGCACAACCACACCATGTCCACATATGTCCTTTCTTTCACAGTTGTTCTGTCTTACTTTCGCAAGAGTTACACTGTATGGCCTCTCGCATTTTCCCTAGTATTTTAGCCCTATGTTTCGAAGACATTAAGCATATTAGAATAATTTTCACCTTATATTATTTTCTTGTTTACTGTGTGCTCCACTATTAGGTACACACTGAAAAGGAGGGATGCCGTATGGAGCACTTTTTAAGGAAAGCTGCCTAGTATCCATAGAAGGGGAAAAACACGAAAACGCTAAATTTGCCAATTTAATGATAAATGTCGATAGTTTGCGAATCGTTTTAAAAGATATCACAAAAGTAACCCAATAAGGTAATTTACCCTTTCATCTATAAAAAATCGTCAAATTGGTCCAAAGTAATAACGTTAATTTAGGTAAGTACCCGTTTAATTTATCTCATACACGATATTTTTTATTCGAAATTTCATTGATCTGCTGCTCTTTCATGAAATTGCTAGCATCCACAATTTTTTAAACTGTTTTCTCGCTAGTGCATCAGCTTGGTTAAAATTTTTTAATACCGCCAATAGCTAGTCTGTTCTGGAAAGAATCCACATGCGAAATTTAACTATGCATCCTTTGTTATTAAATAATATAATAATTCTATATCATTCCTCACATTGTAGTATGCATTTAGTGAAAAAATTAACTTGTAAAAATGGCAATTTGCTTTTTTGATTAATAGATTTTCAGTAGTCCCCCTCCCCATTTAAAAAAAAATCCGCGGTTTTTATTTGTCATAGGGATCATGGGTTGTCGAATGTTTACCGAGTCATAGCCAACATGAGCATTGATTAAAATATTCGGTGCAATAAATTCTCTAAAATGGTTATTATAAGAAAATTAAGAATACACTGCTGGACATCCAAAATGCAACACGAAAAGGATAGGAGATATCAAAACCAAATTTATTTCAGAGGCTAGCTGTTACCCGGCATGCATTGCAAAGCTGCTTAAAAGAAAGAAAGTGTTTGTTTTACAATTCTGTTATGACATTTTTTCGTTATGCGTATTCTGCATGTTTCGATTTGCTTGTGTCACCTGATACCAAGGTTGATAATGGTTCGGGCAGTGAATTTAATTCCCACAATTTCACTTTTCCACTCGCCCAATATATTCCTGGCGCTTCATTCTTAAATTTGAGGGCTCTGCAATACGTGGGCAATTTATACGTGCATAATTAACATGCGTGTTACTGCGTGCATGTTAATGCATGAAAAACTAAATATTTTATGCTCTGCTGAACAACACATTTTAAAATATTTTTACTTTGGGAAATAGTAACATATTTCTCTTAAATAGCCGAGTTTGTTTATTAAATTCGAGACAAATTAATATAGTTCTGTTTTCCTGAATGGCAACACAAGTTTTTTATATCCTCGAACTTTCTTATTAAATTTGAAGCATAACTGTTACGGATTTTATATTTATTTAGCTATTTTTAGTAGGATTTGTAATTAAAATTGTGTTTTATATTACAGTGCAATGCAGTACAAGACTTATTTGAAGAGAAAGCTACGCTAATATTTTGATATCCATATTAGCCTACTTGCTGATCACGGTAAACGATGCATTTCTGTTTCATTAATTCAAATAGGCAAGCTTTCGGCAATTCAATAGCGATATCCGAATGATAATATTAACCGTAATTACATTAAGTAGCGCCTACTACTAGACTAAAAAATGTAAAATAAGTGATTTTTATCATTTATTAAATAGCTATTTGCTATTACTATAATCTCTATCCATCAGTGATTTAAGAATTGAATAGCTACAATGAAGTTGTATTGACAAGATATGTTTAAAAATGAATCAGACACAATACTACCTTTTATAATTCAGGAAATCACTCCACTGACCCTCCTTTCCAACTTTCAGAAAACCATTGCGTGGATGGAAGCAGTGGCGAAAGCAACAAAAAAACTACGACTGGAATTTCACTTTCCAAAAAAGAAATATTATTTTAAATCTGTTATTTCAAATCTAACAGAGCTACGCGATTGTTAACTCAAACTTAAATCACGCGCTAATATTTACGCTGGATTCGCAAATTATTAGCATTATCTAGTCCAGAAGGGACTATTATTTTCGAAATGGGATTTTGTGTGGGTTCATTAAAAACGGCGAATGACTTTTTTAATTGTTGCTACCAAATATTACCTCCCGGCATTATTGAAAAATGAAGAATCTGCATGTATCTATGTATGTTCCTCGCACTGTGAAAAAACGATGGTAGCACCATCAAATTTTGAATAACGTAGTCCTCCATCCCAACATAACAATTTGGAATCCCGAATTTTGAATTTCGGATTTGTTTTATTAGCTATTTCATAGTAATAAAACAAATTTGTAATAGTAATAATAATTTTGTAATAGTTTAATGAATTTCTGATTAACAAAGTTAATGAGCTGAAAGCGAGCAGTGACAATATGGTACGGAATAAAACATTTTCATCTCTAGCACGTGAAATTGTCTATCGAAAATTTTAAAAGTATGCTGTTTTTTAATATTTTGTAATTTTGCTGTTGAACTGAATTTTATTGTGGCATAAGTGCGAAGAAAATGATATTTAATAAATAGTTAACATGCGATAGTTAATAAAGTTAATAATAAAAACACAAAAAAAAAAAAAAAAAAAAAAGTTTTCTAAGCCGTCTTACTAAGAAAATAGAACATTGAAAAATTGAACATTGAAGAACTAAGAAAAAGACTGAAAAAATTGAAAAAGTATATCAGCATTTAACACAGTATCGGGAATTCTGAACATAATGGGGCTATGCTGCCTTTTAAAATTTTCGTGATTTTGCTGTTGAATTGTATATGGTGCAAGTGCGGAAAAAAAAGATGGGCAGTAATAACGCTAAAAAGACTAAAAGAAAAAAAAGAAGAAGAAGAAGAAGGATTAACAGGAGTGAGTGCAACAGTCGACTGGTAGACTGAGAGCTCGGCGAGAGTGTAAAAGACCTTAACAGATCTTTTTGCGCGACCGTTTTTAACCCTATATGCCGTTCAGACATTAGTGTCTCAAATTAACAGACATGAATTGCCCATTATCTTGGTGAATCTGGATGAAATTTTCTAGGAATCGGCGGGGGAATACATATGAGATTAAATTCTCGCGATATTACGAATAGTACGAATACCTCTGAATAAAATTTCATCATTTTGTTTTATTTGTGCTGATAAGGATAAATTTTATTCACTTTTTAATCGACTTGTGCATTCAATCCATTACGAACCCATACGCACGCAACACTTCTTGGTGTCAGGAGTGAGGTTTTGAATGCCAATCACAAGAGCAATGGAAGAGCAGTTAAGACAGCTGACTGCAGCCTTTGCTTCATTTAAAGAAGAAATTAAAGCGAGCCAAGGAAAGATCAAAGCTGGTCAAGAATCAGTTTAGGGAGAGATGAAAATCTTAAAAAAGTGATTACCTGTATAATAGAAAAATTTGAGTCTATGGAAGGCAGAATAGACGTGGTTGAAAATAAAGTTGGACAAATTGAAGTTTCTTCTGCCAAGGAACATATAGAAGAGGTAGTTTCTGCCGTTGAACAAAAAATCGATTATAGAGTTTCTTCTGTGAAAAACCAAATAGAAGAGACAGTTTCTGACGTGGAACAACAAATTGATGACAGTGTTTCTGCAGTCGCCAAAGAAGTTGATACTTTAAAGAAATTCGTAGGGAGGGCAGGCAGCAATTCTGATGGTTTAAATTCTTACCCATGCCTGTTCGTCCCTCCCTAAAGCTATCTACGTATCTTGGCAAAGACCTGGCTATTTTAAAGACGCAATTTTCAATAGTGGCAGGATGCGAATGGATAGGATTCCCAAGATAAGGCCTGTCATTTCGCCGCTTTCTCTGACAGCAGACGAGAGCGGATATCCTGCAGACTCTTCCCCAAAACCAGAGATTAGACTTTAAAGCTCTATCCGGGGCATTGGAGCTGCGCTTTTGGGGAGAAATGTTTGAAAGACTACAGTAGGCTTGACAGGTAAAATCCTGTCAACAGAAGCCCGAGAAAATACCAGAAATTCTTACCCATGCCTGTTCGTCCCTCCCTAAAGCTATCTACGTATGATGGGAAGACCTCTTGGCTAGTTTATAAGACGCAATTTTCAGTAGTGGCAGAAGCGAATGGATGGGATTCCCAAGCTAAGGCCTGTGATCTCGCCGCTTCTCTGAGAGCAGACGAGGCGGATATCCTTCAAACTGTTCCCAAAAACCAGAGATTAGACTTTAAAGCTCTATCCGGGGCATTGGAGCTGCGCTTTTGGGGAGAAATGTTTGAAAGACTACAGTAGGCTTGACAGGTAAAATCCTGTCAACAGAAGCCCGAGAAAATACCAGAATGTTCTGAATGTTCTCGTACAGGATTAAAAAGTTTATATGCTGGAAAAAAAACATCTCAATTCAGTTTTTTATTAGTTGTTTACTTAGTGCCGTTATTGATTGTAGCGAATTCGCGCGGTGGTGAGATCGGATTAGATTTCTGAGTGTTTGAGTTCTGTTCAACGTTTTAGTAGTTTAAAGTATAACTACTGTGAGATAGTGCGATATTGTACGAATATCTCTGAGGAAGTTTCAGCATTTTGTTTTATTTGTTGTGATAAGAATAAATTTTATTCACCTTTTTATCGACTTGTGCATTCAATCCATTACGAAACCTTACGCACGCAACAATACATACCTTACGCTAACTCAAAACTCAAAGCTTTTAAATCGTTAAGATTTTAGTTAAATGTGCGATAAATTAGCGTAAAATTTATACATAAAGAGAGTGACTTTTGAGAATCTAATGTAGACTTTTCTTTTGAGCGATAGATCTGGGGAACGGGCAGACCAGGGTAACAATGCAACATGGTAAGCTAAGAAGAAAGCCTGAATATTGCGTGCAATATGTGGTCGCTTACTGTCCTGTTGAAATGTAGCCGCAGGAAATTCGTCAAGGTAAAAAAAGAGAAACAGGCTGCAAATCCATAGAGATAAACGTTGGCTGGTAAGTGTGCCGATAATGCGTAGTAGTGAGTGGGGAAGTGGAATCCAATGTCACCCTACACCATAACACCGGGTGCAGAACTAGTATGACGATGCACATCACAACAGTCGAGCAGCCTCTCTCCACTGTGTCTCCAAACTCTAATCCGACTATAGAGTCACTGCAAGCAGAAGTGTGATTGTCCGAAAATTCATCCGTCATCGCTGTTCAGTGCACCACTGCAAACTCAAACGCCTGTTGTTTAAAGGTAAACGAAGCAATGAACGTCTAGCAAACAGTCTATTGTACCGTAAACGACGTCGAATTGTTGGTTCAGACACCGAATGTTATGTTACAGAGTGCGTTAATTGTGATATGGTTGCGGATGTGGCAATACGCTCCATTGTGCCATGCGCACAATATGCCTTTCTTCGCATGGAATGGGGTGAAAAGGCGTTCGCAAATTCTCTCGTCAGTCGTTCACTCCTGCATCCACGGATTCCATATTCACATGACTATTGTTTCGCTACATTCGACAAGGATAATCCGCAATCTCTGTATACAACAATTCTGTCACGGTCGAACTCACAGACGTGCTAGAAACTCCCGATGCCCGTGTTTTCCTACGAGGCATACTGAAGTTTCACACACTAAAAATTTCACGACAGAACAATTCACGTTATTCAAAACGGTAATCTTTTCTCTTTTTGTATACGAATTGTAAGGATAACTGCAGTTACCTATGAAGTGTGCGTACGCTAAAATCGTAATCATTTGCATATTCCATCGACATATGCATATGATACAAGTTTCATGGTGCTTGGGTGCTTTCTTCGTGATGCTTCATTTTGGATATATTATGCATTACGTAAGTAATACTACTAATGCATAATGTAAAGTCGACCTATTTTCAGAACGTGCCAAACTCTGATAATCATGTGCATACATGTCTTCAGTCGTCATTTTGATATGCGTTCTTTTTCTGTCGCAGTCCACATTCTAACGGTTTTTATAGAGAAATCGTGTTTTTTTTTTTTTTTTTTTTTTTTTTTTTCTCTTAAGCTCAGTTTTTAAATATGTGCTTACAGAATTTCCGTTCGATAGAAGAAACTATGGCGTAAAATTTCTGCCTGAATTCACTAATATGTCGTAAAATTACTAAAGAAGACAGCTTCTTTGAGTCTCTCGCGCGATACCACGAAATTTCCACCAGAACAAAATAAGACGAAAACAAAAACTAGCTAGTAAGTAGGTTTATTAATTTTTAAGATAATACTTAACTAAAGCGTAATAATTTATGTAATAACATGTATGTATGTAATAATCATTAAAAAATAATCTCCAAATTGAAACGAGATGGTTGCACTAGTACGCAACCTCTGCAGTAAGTACATCCTGCAGACGGTATTAATACTCAAGCAACTGAATCGTGCTGGGAGATTTTAAAGCTAAGTTTATACAAAACTGCGTAGTATGACTCTATAAAACTTCAACGTTATCTCGCAAAAGCATAGTGGGAGATCCGCTGGTAAAGAGATCACTATTTTCTGGCTATGCTTGCGCTACATTCGCAACGCATCTAGCTGAAGGACTCATGAAAACAACGCTTTCAAGGCAACTCCTGCTTTTGTTTTTTGAAATTGGCAGTCCGATTTAACGGGATTAAAAATTCGACAAGTTATTTAATTAATGAATGAAATATTTTTCATTTATGTTATTTCAATTATTTGTATTTATATTCAGATTTAAAAATAGCGCGTTATTAATGCCATCTAAGAAATAACTAACTGAAAGGTGTAAATCGCATACTTTGCTACATGAATTTTTACGATTCATTCGTAAACAGTGATCAGCATTATCACACCGAATCTGTGCATAAAATTAACTTATGCACCAGAGCCCTCACTTCCAGTTATAAACTGCCAACATAGTTTACATTTTTTTTTATTTGTTCATTAGA